ATAAAGGGAGGACTGGATCAGTACACTTGGTCCTTCTTAGGGTCCCTGGGAAGCAGAGCGAGCAAGGCCATACACAAGCAAGGCCGCCCTCCAGGAAAATGAACTCCACGAGCCACACAGATTTCCTGCTAGGGGAGACAGCGTACTGTCAAGGACACAGGACCAAGTCCTGCCTGGCTGAGACCCAGGACTAAATCCAGTCTCTGTCAGGGATACCAAGTGAGAGAATGGCGATGGCTTGGGACTGCCCGGGAGTCAGAGCCTCCCAATGGCCAGACCAGAGCGTCCCCTGGGATATAAAGGTGGCCCCTCCGGACAGCCCTTCCTGGGGCTGAGAACTGGTCCCGTTACGTTAGATTCAGGCTCGATGACCTTTGTGATCATGGGACTCTTACCCTATGCTTATTCCACAACTGGCAAATTCCTCAAACAGGAACGTTCGTGTTTTGGCATAGTCACTCTGAGACATGACTCTATATGACAGTATTTCAAATGTACAGGGCGTCGTTTACCAGGTAAATTGTAGATCTCTGATGAAAAGCAAAAAATCACGTAATCTTATCTCTGGCATCCCTTAAAGAGTCGTACACCCCCCCACATATGCCGACAGTGGGGTCGAAGAGCTCCGGGAGGGTAGGCAGGACCAATGGAGCCCTACGTACCCACCAGAAACTACGGCTATCTCTGCTCTCAGCACCAGCTTCGAGGGGAAGTACAAGAAAAGGAGGGTGGCCAGAGGAGGCACGGAGTCATCTTGCGACTGCAGGTGCAGTCAGCCCTGCCATTTCTCACCTATGTGTCATGGTCTGTGATCTTTTTTTTTTTTTTTTAAGAATTTAAAAGAATTATTTAATTTTATTTGTTATTATTATTATTTAATTTGACCAAAGAGATAGAGAGAACAAGAGAAGGGGAAAGTGAATGAGAAAGCAAGCCTCCAGATCTGGGACTTGAACCAGTCAGCCATGTGGGAGTCCAGCGCCTCAACCACCTGTCGGCCTGGTCTGAGATCCTTTTTTAAAGTTTTTTTTGTGGTTGTTATTGTTGATTCATTCATTTTATTTTCATTTGACCAGAGAGAAAGGGAAAGTGAAAAAGCCAGCCACCAAATCCAGGACTCGAACCGTGGTCGGCCATGTGGGAGTATCCAGTGCTTTAATCACCTGCTGGTTCCCCTTTTTAAAAGTTTCATTTGGCCGATTCTGCGGCGCAGTGAAAATGCACTTCTTCTTCCAGGAGAAGTCAGTTTCCATGTGTTGACTGTGGTTCAAGCCCTTGGCCCTGGTCCAGTCAGCCTGAAACAAGCTGGGCACTTATATGTACCCAAGACCCAATGGGCTAGAGGACTGGAGGAAGGGAACTGCAGTTTGACAAACCCATGGAAGGTTCTCTATCATTAATAGAAAGACAGAGAAGAAGAAGCCAGAAGGTTGTTTTTAAAAATTTTATTTATTTATGATAGTGTGTGCATGACAGAGAGAGGCACCCTCAACAGGGTCTGATCACACTGTGATCCCCTTCCCCCAGATCCCCAGCACAGCAGCATCTTGGGCACACATCTGCCCAATGTGTTTTGGGCTGATCAGGGATCCAAACTCATAGTTAGTAAAACTTAAAAAAAAAAAAAAAAAAAAAAAGCATCTTAGACTTTTAGGACACAGGTGAAAGATGGCAGGGGCTGCTTGCACTTACGGTCACAATGTGACTCCGAACTCATGAAAACCATGTGGTTTCCAGCACTGCAGTTTGGAACATTCCTGCCTGCACTACAGAGACGAGGCCTCTTAAAAAACCTCTACAAATGAAATTCCAACTTTATCACTAAGGAAAGGCTAATTCCAGATCCTCATAGGTTTTTTCAGCCTCAGCTGGTAGGTCTTTTGCAACAGGGCACAAAGAGGTTCACATGGGGATACACAACCCAGTGAGGGAACTGAGAGATGCCCAAGTCCCCACATTAGGCTCAAGGGGTTCAAACTGGGCTTAAATTTTTTTCTAAGAATTATTTTATTTAACTTTTACTTACTTACTCATCTATTTAAATTTGACCTGAGAGAGACAAGAGAGAGAGAGGGAAAGTGAGAAAGCAATACGCCAGGTTTGGGACTCCAACTGTAGTCGGCCATGTGGGAGTCCAGCACCCTTAACCACCATGCTACCTTCCAGCTCCTAGGCTGGGCTTTAAATGACAGTCCCCTGTGGAGCTGGGGAAAGAGCAGTGTGATGCTAAGGACATGAGCATTTCAGGTAGATGCCACCTCCAGGGTGCTAGGAGCTTCCCACACATTAATCTCTTGAGAGCCACCCTATGCCCAAAATACCTACACAGTCAAATGCCCACCTATGTGTCTGCTGTACCTGTGGGCGGCATCCAGGAAGTTTCTGGGAGGCATAGGCACCCTGCAGCCTCACCTACTCTCTCACCCGCTGGGGCTGTGACTCATTTCTCTCGACAGTCTGATCCTTCTCTGTCTGCCAAACCTGAATTCTGATTTGCTTCATGTCCTGGGGGTTTCTGAGAACAAAGCTATCTTTAACTGGGCTCCGATGGTCCCCTCCATGCGACTTTTTGTTCATAGGTGTTGCCAATAGCTGACCCTGGACAAATTCTGTAACTTCCTCCTTCACTTTTATCTTCAGTAACTCAGAAATAGCAAGCCCTGCTGCAATCACCTACCGTAAAAGGTAAACTGAGTGAAGTGGTAAACGTGGGAGTTGTTTAGAAGTTGAGATGTGCTATGGTAGGAAGAAGGGAGCCAGTGAATGATAAGTAACATGGTAGCAAGAGCTGGAGTCTGGGGTGAAGTGCCTCCAGCAGCCAGCAGGGGGAGCCCTTCCCAAGCACTAGAGAAGCCTGGGGGCCATCACTTTCCACACCTACCCCAGGTGTGTCTGGGTCAGGCAGGGGCTAGTTTCTGTGGACTCTGGGCACGGGGCCCCAAACCCACCATGCCTCCTGGCCGCCCCATGGCAGAAGGGCAAAGTGATGTGTGCCCAACCCCGGGGTGCTCCTCTCCAGCTTGTTGGGCCCAGACGTGCTGTACTCACCAGTACACCACCACGGTGTGCTTCATGTACTTGAGCAGCTTCTTGGTCTCAAACAGCAGGGGGATGTCCAGAACCACATAGCGGTATCCTGGAGAGAGGTCAGAAAACCCCCACGTTCGATTCTGCAAGCACACCCTGAGGAATGATTTCATGCTGGGGAAGGGAAGAGAGATGAAACCACTGCCCCCTATCATCTTGAATGCTCCAGCAGAGGGAAAGGCCTCCCAAGGACAGACATACCCTGAGTACTAGCCAGTTCCAATCCCATTCAGAAGAGAATGATGCAGAAAATCATTTCTGGCTGGCTGATCAGGGAAGACCTTGTAGAAGGGCTGGCATTTACACTGGCCTTGACAAGGAAGTAGGACTTCTGGTACTTGAAATGGAAGGGGCTGGCCTGTAGCACAGTGGATAAGCGCTGTGTGGAGGGACTCGGATTCCATATGGCTGACCACAGTTCAAATTCTGGTCTCAGAAGTTTGAAAAACCTCCGGTGTGCAAAGTCCTGCCAGAAGGCTGTGCTAGGGGACTTTGATGCCGTCCTGGCTATAGTCGCAGGGCCTGGTGAATATGTGCGTGCTTGGGGTTGTGCGTGCAGGAAGAAATGGAAAAAAGGGGATTGTGGCATGACTGAGTCCCACTGTGGGGGCACTTTCTCTGTCTTGCACCCTCTGGAATTGAAGAGAAGAAAAATGAATATGAGAAGGTGTGGGGGGATGTCAGGAATGAACACGAGCAAAGCCCTTGGAATAGACAGGTTCTGTGTGGGCTGAAGGGGAGATTCCAGTTCAGTGAGGTGAGGCTGGCGAGGTGGGCAGGGCAAGTGCACGAGGCTTGGTTTCCCTTGATCTTTATTTTTTTTTTAAGAGCTATTTTTTGCTATAGGGCACATGTGCTCATCAAAGCGACAGAGACAGAGAGATCGAAAGTGAGAAATCACTCCCGGGGGGATGGCCACAATGCAATCCCTTCTCCAGTCTCCTCTTGGGATTTTGGGTGTGCACACACATGCTGGGTGCCCGGAATGTTTTAAGCCACCAGGTCTGGGACTTGAACCACAGTCGACTATGTGGGGAGTCTGCTGATAACCATTATACCATTTGCTGGTCCCTTTCCTTGATCTTGAACTCAAAGACCTGTTATTTCCGAGCAGGGAAATGACTTAGCCAGAGCTGGGGAGACTGAGGAGAGTTTTCAGGGACCCAAGCCCTTTCTGCCCTGCTTCATACACTCAGGGTTAAAAAAAAGGGGGTAAGATCACCCTCAAGAGCCAGGTGCAGGCCTGGCCCCCTGCTGAGAAGAGTCCCCAGTGGCCCTCTCTCCCCACTCTTCATAAGGCGCTCATAGGGGTGGCAGTGGCGGCCCCAAAAGGAAAGAGCCGCTCTCGCGTGAGGGGCAGACCCCCAGCCAGAGACGGAAAGACCTAGGTCTGGAGGCACCGGGGTTGACAATACGTAACTCACTCCAATGGGGGAAATGGCACTGCTGGTCCTCCCACTCTGCCAAGGGCTACACGCACCCACTTCTCTTTACACGTGACCCTTGTGTGTATACGGGGCTGGGAGGGCTCCAGGGGAACAAAGGGTAAGACCCCTGGCCTGGATGGTGTCTGCTTCCAAAACACATCACGTTCCAGGGGTGTTATGGAAACCAGCTTTTTTTTTTTTTTTTTTGAGAGATTTTCACTGTAGGGCGTGTGCGCTCGCCAGACAGACAGAGAGAGACATAGAGACAGAAAGCGAGAAATCACCCCCCAGGGGGGATGGTCACGCCGCAATCCCTTCTCCTCCATTCTCCTCTCGGGATCTTGGGCACGCACGCACACGCGCCCGGCGTCAGTTTTAAGCCACCGGGTCCGGGACACGAACCGCGGTGGACTACGTGGGAATCCAGTGACATAGCCATTATGCTAACTGCTGGTTCCCATGGAAACCAGCTTTGAAGGTGATGCAGGGAATGGGGATGACAACCTAGAGGCTGGGTTTCCTGTCCCCCCAGGAAGCAGAGGAACCTGCAGTGGGACGAGGGGTAAAGAGTGAGCCCTGCTCACACACCTTGATTTGTAGCCCACCATGTGACTTTGGGCCCCTCAACAAACTTCATCTGTGTAAATGAGGAAAAAGAACACCTCTTTAAAGGACGACGGTGAAGATGAAAATGCTCGGAATGCATGGAGAGCACTCAGCACCCCTCAGCCGGTGCTCTACGCGTCCCTAAAGGATGCCACTATTGCTGCTGTGCTCGGACAGGGAGGCCAGCAGTGCAGGCTCCCACGCGCCCCCCAACACGGAGCAGGAGCCAAGACCAGATCCTCTCTGGGCCGCTTATCTCCCTTTCCTGCTCGGCTCCTATCGCTTCCTCTCCCCTCCTCCCCTCCTTGTCCTTTCTCCTCGGCCCTCTTGGGAACTCGTGGCCAGCTCTTCGGTTCACCGGCAAAGGGCTATCAGCTGTCACATCCCTCCTGCTTGATAAGCTCTGCAAACTACCCTGACTCTATTAAGACATCCGTCTGCCTACACAGAGACCTCCCCAACAGCTGGTGATCTTATCTGACGTTTGATTATACCAACTTTGACAGTTGTATTTGTTACACTCATCAGGGAAAAACTGGGACTGTGGAAGCCACAGCTGTCGTCCCCATTTTTCACCTTATCGAGCTGAAAAGCGCTTTCTGGCTTTTATTTAAGTGGTGGTGGCTGGGGAGGCGGGAGGCTGGGTGGATGACACAGTGGGAGAGCTCTGGAACGGGTGACATTATCCGATGCTTAATTTCAGACGGGGAGAGCCGCTGCCGGTACACTCGTGACTGGCCTGGGAGCGAATGCAAAAGGGCAGGATGAAAGGCAGAAGGCTTGGCAGTGGGGGTAGGGTGGAGGGACGGGACTGGCACAGACACAGAAGCAGGACAAAGGCAGAAGAGTCCAGAGACTGGCGGGAGGCGGAAGGAGGGAGGCCTACAGTCAGGTGTAGACAGGGAGGGTGCCCTGGCCAGAGCTGGCAGGGAGAGGGAAGGTCTATATCACGGATGTCTATCAAGTTTCCTCTTCTTCTGGAGGGAGGTTTTGGACAGAGGGCTAGGGTATAGAAGTTCCCTACTCTGTACACGAGAACCTAGGACATGACAGAATAAGGGGCTTGGTCAAGTCACTCATGTATAAATGTGTGAAGCAAACCCAGAAGGCTCCCCCAGACCCTCCTGGAAGGGAAGTCTTGGCATCGTGACTGCAGTGAGGGTCAAACAGTCAGATCTTGCCTCTCACCCAAGGCCTCTCACCTGATTCCCAGCCACAGTTCCCTGCCCTCCCATTTCTCCTGGTAACTAGCCCTCCTTCTGGACAGCAGGTGTCAGTACCCCGCCCAACGCCGTCCTGAAGAACGGGGCTTGGGAGAAGGATCCTGACCGGCTGGCCACAGAACCTGCTTTCAGACTCCCCTGCTTTCTTGGCACATTGCTTGGGGCCTCTGCACCTGCTGGGCTGACTCCACGGAGCCCAGGCCCCGGAGGACTGTCTTCCACCTACAAGCCCTCCCCAGCGCGCTGGCCACCTTGTTCCCTCTCTGACTTTCAGCCTATAAACCGGCTTGGTGTGGACTCTCAATCCTCCCAGCAGCTTCCTGTGACTGGCATTTTATCCCCGCTGTGTACATGAAGTAACGGGCTCAGGGCTAGATCACTTGTCAAAGTCACACAGCTCAAACACTCAGGGTCAGGATTTGAACTCAGGCCTATGACTCCATTATTTACCAGCTATTATCACTCTCATCCCTACTAGAACTATCAACTTCCTGGGGCTCAGACATAAAAGCCTTGTTTCCTTCTCACTGAATTGTCGGCCTCCTTGAGCGTGGAGGAGCACTGAGGGGCATGTACCTTTCCTCAGGGGCTGGCACGGGGCTCTGTACCAGCCCTGAGGGCCTGGGAGCGAATGCAAAAGGGCAGGATGAAAGGCAGAAGGCTTGGCGGTGGGGGGAGGGGGGAGGGACGGGACTGGCACAGACACAGAAGCAGGACAAAGGCAGAAGAGTCCAGAGACTGGCGGGAGGCGGAAGGAGGGAGGCCTACAGTCAGGTGTAGACAGGGAGGGTGCCCTGGCCAGAGCTGGCAGGGAGAGGGGTCTATATCACGGATGTCTATCAAGTTTCCTCTTCTTCTGGAGGGAGGTTTTGGACAGAGGGCTAGGGTATAGAAGTTCCCTACTCTGTACACGAGAACCTAGGACATGACAGAATAAGGGGCTTGGTCAAGTCACTCATGTATAAATGTGTGAAGCAAACCCAGAAGGCTCCCCCAGACCCTCCTGGAAGGGAAGTCTTGGCATCGTGACTGCAGTGAGGGTCAAACAGTCAGATCTTGCCTCTCACCCAAGGCCTCTCACCTGATTCCCAGCCACAGTTCCCTGCCCTCCCATTTCTCCTGGTAACTAGCCCTCCTTCTGGACAGCAGGTGTCAGTACCCCGCCCAACGCCGTCCTGAAGAACGGGGCTTGGGAGAAGGATCCTGACCGGCTGGCCACAGAACCTGCTTTCAGACTCCCCTGCTTTCTTGGCACATTGCTTGGGGCCTCTGCACCTGCTGGGCTGACTCCACGGAGCCCAGGCCCCGGAGGACTGTCTTCCACCTACAAGCCCTCCCCAGCGCGCTGGCCACCTTGTTCCCTCTCTGACTTTCAGCCTATAAACCGGCTTGGTGTGGACTCTCAATCCTCCCAGCAGCTTCCTGTGACTGGCATTTTATCCCCGCTGTGTACATGAAGTAACGGGCTCAGGGCTAGATCACTTGTCAAAGTCACACAGCTCAAACACTCAGGGTCAGGATTTGAACTCAGGCCTATGACTCCATTATTTACCAGCTATTATCACTCTCATCCCTACTAGAACTATCAACTTCCTGGGGCTCAGACATAAAAGCCTTGTTTCCTTCTCACTGAATTGTCGGCCTCCTTGAGCGTGGAGGAGCACTGAGGGGCATGTACCTTTCCTCAGGGGCTGGCACGGGGCTCTGTACCAGCCATGAGCACCAAGCAGTAGAGTGAACTCACCAGCCTGGAGAACAGTTCCCCTTCCCTGGCCACTTTTTTCAGAGAAGGGCCCTGGCTCTGGAAGGAGAGGCCTAGCCCACTTCCCTGTCCCCAGCCCGGGTTCTTACCCTGGAGGAAGTATTTGAAGGTCTCCTTCATCATTTCCTTGCGGATCTCAGGGTGGGTGATGGTGTTGAGCAGGTGTCGCCGGTCAGGGTTGTTAAAAATCAGATCCCCAAGGACCTTCCGATTGATGTCACCATTCTCCAGCAAGACCTCGGTGCCGAAGGCCTCCACGATGCGCCGGTGGGCAGGGTAGCCTGGCTGGACGACTGTGACACGAAGAGAAGGCCAGGTCACGTACTGGGGCCTCCAGGCCAGTAAAGGACCCTCCAGTGACCAGGGGCAAAATGATGGGGGAGCTCAGAGGATTTCTTCCAGTTACAGCAAAAATGAGGCTAGGGAAAGCAGCTAGGGAAAAGAGTGGAGCGCATGGAACCCCTCTGGGTAGAGGGTCGAGGAGAAGGAGTGAGGCTTCCAACGAGAGAGAACTAAGCTGGGCAGAGAGGGCAAGCATGGGGCAGACAGGAAACCAGGCCAGGACGACAGGACGGCCTTGGAAGGGATATGTGAAAAGGGAACACATGATGAGAAAACCAAGGTCGCACAGGGGGCTGCTGTGTCCGACCGCCCAGACCCCGCCTCCGACTCACCATGCCGGGCAATGACGTCCACATCAACCACTGCACAGCCCAGCTGCTGCAACACCTGGAGCACTGAGCTCTTGCCTGAGGCGATGCCCCCTGTCAGGCCCACCAGGAACATCTTCCCAGGAAAGGGGGTCAGGGAGACTACGGAGCCAAGAGCCGAGAATCACTGCAGAGTGGGGCTGGTTGATGGGGAAGGTCCTCCAGAGGGAAGCCAGCAGGAGAGCCTCTCAGAGCGAGCAGGCCTGGTCAGCGCTGGGCCTGAATGGAGGAGTGGGTGATGAAAGGGAGGGAGACATGGCTGGCCGGCTGGCCAGAGTCAAGCTCTGTGGCTGGGGAGCTCTGTGGCCATCTGGAGAAACCCTCCAGTGTTCTTTTAAAAACCCTCATAAAGGCGGCGAACTAGCACAGTGCAAGTTCAGCAATCTAGATGCTGAGTAAGGCAGAGAGCTTTCTGGAGGAGACGGCAGACTTCCTGTAGGAAGATGACACCTGTCCCTTTGTGGCAAACCCCACAAGGTCCCTCGGGAGAAATGGCCAGTGTGCAGCCAGCCAAGCAGGAGAAACCACACGAAAGCCCCCTCCCACAAAAGGTCCCATGGCTGCCCCACCTTGAACACCAGCACCATGTTGGCCAGGTGTTAGTCTCCACTGGGCTGAACAGTCCCTCCTCTTCAACCAAATGGCTCCGATGGGGAGCTCTGCAGCAAGGAGTGGCTTGGAGGCCACTATACCTGAGGTTTAGAGAAGTACAGATCTGGGCCAGGAGGTGGCATAGTGGTTAATGTGCTAACCTCCCACTTGGCCGACTACGGTTTGAATCCTGGGCTGGTGGCTTGAAACTCTCACTGAGCAGGTGTACATGCATGCCCAAAATCCCAAGAGGAGACTGGAGAAGGGACTGCAGCATGGCCATCCTCCCGAGGGGTGATTTCTCACTTTCTGTCTTTCCAGCAAGTGCATGTGCCTATAGTAAAGATCTCAAAAAACATAAAGAAAGAAGGAAGGGAAGAAAGAAAGAAAAAGAAGTACAGATCTTGCGGAGGAATGTGAAGGAAAGGTCGCCAGTCTGGCGAGGTGGGGGTGGCAGTGGTACCTTGGGGCCCAGTGTTGTGGTTTGCAGCTCCCTCAGACTGAGCAGTAATGGCACAACACAAAGATTAGGAGCATGGACCTTTATGAAACCAGCTCCTCCGCTTACATGCTGTGCAACCCTCGAACCTGCTCACCTCTCTGGACCTGTTCTCTTGTCCATGAAATGGGGTTAACAGGACGTGAGCTGAGAAAAAGCACAGAAGTCTCTGGTACACTGTCTGAGAAGTGGTGAATGCCCAGTAAGGACGTGAGGGCAGAGATGAGGACTGCAGGGTAGGGGCTAAGGCTACACTGCAAGGCACAGGAAGGGAACGTGACTTCCTTGAAGTCATGGCCTCATTCCTGCAACCTCAGACTGTCACACACAGACTGTGTAAAAAGTCATGTTGCATTTTCTGAAGTAAATGGGTTTGCCATATTTTGGACTTTGTTTCCAGGCTGGAAGCAATTAAAGAGAAGGCCAGGTCTCTCCCACCCTACTCTCAGCATCGAATCACTTCCCAGGACTTTGAAAGCTGTCACAGGACCTGTTGGTTTTTGTGGAACAGCAGATTTCCTGTCCTAATTACACTTTGCTCGGGCTTATACTGAAATGTGTTCGCCTCCCCCAAGGCCATACCAAGTGACAGACCTGTGCTTGGATGTGGGCTGAGTGGGTGCGAAGCTTGGGGTGGCGGGGGACCAACTTAAAGTTTAAATCAGCCTCGGCGAGACCAGCAGATGGTATAACAGTTACACTGCTGGACTCCCACATGGCTGACAGAGTTTGAGTCCCAGACCTAGTGCCAGGCACATGTGTGTGTGTGTGCCCAAGATCCTAGGGGGAGAAATGGAAAAGCAAGTATGCTGTGACCATCCCCCCTGGGGGGTGATTTCTCACTTTCCCTCATTGTCTCTGTCTCCTTCTTTCTCTCCAGCACGCGCAGAGACCCTAAGGCAAAACCTCTAAAAAAAAAAAAAATTAAATCGGCCACAGCAGCCACTCATCCAGGGAAGCCATGGCGGAGAGGGGAAAACATCTACCAGTAGATTGTCATCCCAGTGCAGAGGCCTAACTAAATTATCCAACTGCTTAAAAATCTTTGTGAGACTAGCCCTGTGGCCTAGTGGTTAAAGGGAGCCAGATCCCACACAGCCAACCAGGGTTCAAATCCTGATCCTGGCAGCTTGAAAAACACTCCAGGTGAGACCAGCAATTAGTGTAATGGTTATGTTGCTGGACTCCCATGTAGTCAACTGCGGTTCGCATCCCAGACCCGGTGGCTTAAACTCACGCCGGGCACGTGTGTGTGTGAATGCCCAAGATCCTGAGAGGAGAATGGAGGAGAAGGGATTGTGGTGTGGCCGTCCCCCCTGGGGGTGATTTCTCACTTTCTATCGCTCTGTTTCTCTCTTTCTGGCGAGCACATGCGCCCTATAGCAAAAACCTCTCAAAAAGAAAGAAAGAACAACAACAACAAAAAAACCCATGCACAGGTGCATGCATGCCCAACATCCTAAGAGGATAAAGAAATGGAAGAAAAAAGAAAGATTGTGGCGTGACCTTGCCCCACTGGGGAGTGCTTTCCCCTTGCTCCCCGTGAGTAAATACACCTGCTAGCAATAAAAATAAATATAAACATCCTTTCTCTTCAGTCTCTCTGAGATTAGAGTCATCCCTGGGTGGTCTGTAGCCAAGTTACACAAAGAGGAGTTAAGGGCAGTTCGGTTGTAAAAATTAAAAAAAAAAAAAAGTCGGGCTTCTTAGCTGAAGCCTTGAACTAGAACACCCAGCAGCAGCGTTATTTTATTTTACTCTACCTCATTGAGACGGCTCGTGTGCTTGTTGGCCACTAGGCCCCAGCGCAGGCCCCAGCAGCAGCGTTATTAATCCCAACTCTCTACTGTTGTCCCTGAAGCAAAGAGTCTGCTTCTCTTCTGCAGATGAACAATTGGGCAGAACAGGGGACTTGAAAACAGGCCACACCTCGTGGAAGGACAAGGACCAGTTTCCCACAGCGCTCTGACTTCTCATCGAAGGCGAGCTGTTGTCACCTGGTCACCCAACTTTGCCAAGTTCAGCTGACGGGCCCTGGAAGGCCACCTGGCTGAGCAGACCTCAATCCCTTGGACACGGATGCCCAGACACCTCCTGAGAGTCTGAATCAGAAGCTCCTGTGACGGAGCTGCCTGCACAGTTATGACATGGAACAGGACTTGGAATAGAGTCCAACTCCTCATTTAGGTGTCGGAAATTGAGGACCAGGGAGGGGCAGGGTCTTGCCCAGGTCGGTTATTAGCAGATCCCGGATGCAATTCTGGACTCTAAGCCAGAGCTCTGCCTTTAATGTTCTCAGGGAATAAAAAATTAACATATGCTTAGGCTAATAAGACAAAATAAGGAAGGGGAGTCTCTCTGTAGGCAAACCAGTTCAGGACCAAAGAGAAATGATGCGATTATCATATTGTTTTCTGCGGGATAGAAGCGGGGGCTGTGGACAGGGACCAGGGCCGAGATGTAAAATCCAGGCTCACAGGCTAACTGCATGCACATCTTCCCCTCTCAGTGCCTCGGAAGGCCATCTGTGGAAACAGACCAACAGCTGCCTGGCCTCTGTCAGGAAGGCCAAGGGGATAGAAGAGCACATGCCCGGGGAGGCTCTGGGCCTCGAGCTTAAAGTGACTGGACAAATACCAGCTGTTGCTGTCCAGCGTTGTCTCTCGGTAACTCATTCCGGAACTTACTCTCTCACTCACTGTTGACTGACCTCCTCTGAGCTTTGTAGCGATGGTGCCCGGGACCTCTTGGGCAACCAAAAGAAAGCAGAGGTCCTGCCCCTCAGGAAAACTGGAGACAGAAACAAATGAAATCGCCGACAACTGCAGTCGACCGGTGAGCAGGAAGTCTGGTCGTGCTGGCCCTGGCCCAGGTGTGAACGTGCCTTCTCACTCACAGGGCTGTCCGTGAGGAGGAGACGGAGGCTTAGCTTCCAAGGCCCCTCCAAGTCCCACCCAGACCTGTCGGGCAGCTCCCCCCAGGCACACGTGGTCACCTTTGAGGACCTGCATTCATGATCCTCCTCCTACTCTGGCTCCAGTCATCCTTCTCTAGAACCCACTCCAGTTTCCCTCCTTCCACTGCCACTTCCAAAGATGCAGCAGGCTCCTCCTAGCAACCCCTAACCCTGGCCAGGATCTGAATCCCCTACGAAACTTGTAAAAAGGTTCAGAAACCCAGGCTCCATGCCAGCCCACTGAATCAGCATCAGCTAGGCCCCGAACCTCTGGCTACAATGTGGCCTGGAAGTTAAAACTACCCTGTGACTGTAGGAAGCCACCTTGCCAGCCTGGCCCAGGGTGGTAACTGCTCCATCAGTGAGAAATGGCTGAGCCCCGAATGCCTTCCCTCTCTGAGCCTCAGTCTCCACACCTGTGCAGGAGGGGGCTGCCCTTCTGGCGCCAGGGGTAGTGTCAGCTCCAGGGGGAGGCCGTGAGTCACACAGCGCAGTCAGTAATGCCACCTGGTGAACAAAGAATGACATGACTGTCAGTGGCCTGGAAATCCATTCAGAGCTGGCATGGCTACAGGAAGAAGGATGACACCGAGGGCCCATAGTAAGAGAGGCTAATGCCCAGTGCTGGAAAAAATGGAGGCTGGGTTCTGGAACGAATCCCAAAGGTGGGGATTCATCAGCCAAACTGGAGGAAAAGCAGAACTCCAATTATTCTCCATGGCTGTGAAAAGGCAGCAGGGTATCAGGGAAAGGGGAAGGACTTGAGGTAGTGAGATGGTATCTGTATACCCCTTGTGCTGTGAGCGCTGAGGCTCGTGAAGTGAGGATCCAATTCTACACACTCCACAATGGCGGACTCTCCATTGAGCGTCTCCAGACTGCCTTTCTGTCTTTACCTCTTGGGCCCCAACGGCCCTCTGTTCCATTTACCTGCCCCCCTTTGTATTCACCAGGCTTTGTACTTACATTTCTTATTTCTTTTTTTAAAAGAATGATTATTTTATTTATTACTATTCTTTTTAAATTTGCTGTAGGGCAGATGCACTCACCCAGAGAGAGGGAAAGTAAGAAAGCAAGCTGCCAGGTCCAGGACTTGAATCGCAGTCACTATGTGGGAGCCCAGCACCTTAACACCATGCCACCTGCCGGGCCTGTACGTGTATTTGTTTGTGCAACTTTATTTTATTTCTTGAGAGGGAAGGAGGAATACAGAAACAGAGAGAGGGAGAGACCCTTGACAGATCTTGCCATGGTGCAATGCTCCCCCAGGTCACCCAGCCAGCCATGATTATGCGTGCACCAAGCACATTCAGATGGACCTGGGATCCAAATCTTGGCCTCCCATATGGATCCAGTGGGCCTGTGTGACTTTTTTAAAAAAATAATTATTTATTTCTTTAATTCCATTTGTTGTTATTTTTAATTTGATCAGAGAGAGAGAGAGAGAGAGAGAGAGAAAGGAAAAGCAAGCCACCAGGTCTGGGACTCGAACTGCAGTTGGCCATGGGGTAATCCAGCACCTTTAACCACCACGCCCCAGACCAGTCTCTTAAAAGTTTATTTTTTTTATAAGAATTTTTTTCTTTAATTTTATTTATTCATGCACTTATTTTAATTTGACCAGAGAAGACAGACACAGAGAGAGAGAGAGAGAGAGAGAGAGGCCAAGTGAGAAAGCAAGCCACCAGGTCCGGGGACGAAGTGAGAAAGCAAGCCAGCAGGTCCGGGACTCGACCATGCTTGGCCATGTGGGAGAGTCCAGCGCCTTAACCACCATAACCACCATGCCACCTGCTGGTCCCAAAGTTTCTTCATTTCTTGAGGGGGAGGTACTCACACCTAGGGTTGCCACACCTAGAACCACTCTAATCTCAGTCAGCCTAGGTCAGCACACGCCCTGCTAGTCCAGGGAGGTGCCAGGATGGGGAACCAGGACTCTGTCCAGCTGTGCCACCACTGCACCACAGTCTGGCTCTCTGCGTGACTGTTTTTCAATTTGGCATAAGGTCCAGTGCTCCCTGGAGAGAGCCAGAGAGGGAAAGTGAGAAAGCACTCCCCAGGAGGGATGGCCATGCTGCAATCCTTGTCTATTCTCCTCTTGGGATTTTGGGCACATACATGCATCTGGCATGTTCTTCAAGCAGCCAGATCTAGGACTCAAACCGTGCAGTTGGCCATGTGGGATCTAGCTGCCTTGACCCCCATGCCACGGCTGGCCCTCCGTGTGACTATTTTCAGATGTCAGATATAACAAGCTCCGTGAGGCCACAAGTCCCGTCTAGCCTGTACCCCATCCCCAGCATGCGGCATCTTGTACAGGGTTGCTCTGTTACTTACACATGAGTAACTCGTGCTACTTTTCTTCAACTTAGTTTCTTTTAAAATGGAGCTTAATGGTCCTTCTCTGAGATGCCTGGTACACACGAAGAGCTCACTCAACAGTTAGCAGAGGGAGTATTTGCTAACTATTTGCAGAGTGACCAGATGACGCCACGACTGGGCCTAGCTATCCTTGCCGGAAGGGGAGGGGAAATACTTGGGGTCACATTCTCCTGTTGGTGGCAACAGGCAGGCTGTAATCAGCACCCCCTCTCCCTGCCTGCCTTTTTCTGCCTTAGAACATGCTGCTTGCTGCTAGTAAATCGCTCCTGGAACAAAGGGACAACAGACAGAACCCCCAATGAGAGTAAGAAACTGAGATTTGAGTGGACACTCTCTTCCCTTGGGAGGGCTCAAGACTTAAGTCAGTGCTTCCCATCTCCCCACCAAAAGGCCCCGTGCCCCCCAGTGCCTGCAGCAGGCCAGGACCTGGTTCCCTCATTAGCTTGCAGCTCCTTCCCTCCTCCTCAGCAGCCTCTCAGGATTTCACACCAGGCACGCCTGACCAGCCGGACGCCTCTCTTTTGAATTGCTTCCCAAAGGGGATGTATCTATTTCCTTCCAATGATCAATATAATCATTCATGAAAACGAGTCATTCACTGCCTTGGGACCCAATTACTTTCTCGTGGAACCAGTGGCTGCAAAAATATATTGTTTTCCAATTAACTACTAAGTGCTATTTTTATATACGGTTTTCCCCACTCCTAATCTTTCATTATTGGTGAGAGGTGGTTGTTTAAACCTCGAGTCCAAGTTCTCTTCCTCGCTGGGCCTATTAAGTCACTACCTTCTCCAGGCTGCCAATTACCTGGAGGGAGCCCCAAGAGGAAGTGCTGGCAGTCGGTCCAGGCCCCCCCCCAACACCAAAGGGAGGGAGGGAACAGGCCGACCTGAGCCCTCTCCAAGCACAAAGCATCACTTCAGGCAGCGTTCATGTGCGGGCGGGCAGGGGGGCTGTCCAGGAACTGACACCCTACTGGTGTCTATGCAGAAAAAGGGTCTCAGGGAGTACTTCTCACACCCTGCAGTCAGCTGGACCTTGGGTGAGCTCAGCTCTGCCCTTAACTAGCTGTGTAGCCTGTGGCAATTGATTTCAGCATGCCCAGTTTCTCTTTCCTTGAGCAGAAAATGGGATTAATAACGACTACTCACTGGGGTCTTGTCATGATGAAATGAGGTGACATGGGTCACGATCACCTCGTCTTCCCCATCTCTGTGTGTGGCATGTCACAGTCGTTGCAGTCTACTCTACTTCCCTAAATGACACCTCCACCTTAGCCCCCAAACCTCGGTGCCCACCAGGTTTCTCTTACACCCTTCACCACTAACCCACCAGCCCCTGCCAGCTTTGCTTCACTTCACGACCCAGCCAGATGCCCCTGGGGGACACTCGACTGGCACCTCGACCCCTGGGTCACTGCAGTGGCCTGTGATTTCCCTGCTGCTCCCTTTGCTCTCTAACAGTCTGTTCCTAACAGCAGTTAGTACGACCCCCCAACCCCTTTGCCAGAGCGTGTCTGCACTTACCAGAGCTGGTGGAGGAGGAAGAAAGCACCCCCAATGGGGCATGGTTACTCCACAATCCCTTCTCCTCCATTTCTACGTCCTGTTGGGATTTGGGGCATACATGCACATATGCCCAGCGTGTTTCTCAAGACACAGGGGCTAGGATTCAAACCACAGTTGGATACATAGGAATCTAGTTCCCTTAACAAGGTTGCCTGCTACTATGATCCTTTAACAAAAGAAATGCCAGAGGGCAGGTGCACTTGCAGGAGACAGAGATACAGAGAGGGGAATGAGAAAGCAACCCCCATTGGAGGTGGTCATGCCACGATCCCTTTTCCTTCACTTCTCCCTCTGTTAGCAATTTTGGACGTACATGCACATACACCCGGTGTGTTTCATAAGCTGCTGGGTCTAGAAGTGCATGGTTGAAAGCCTCCTTAAACATGTCACTGGCTGGCTAAGTATGACCCTTTAGAAAACATTTTTTTAACAATATTCATGATAGAGCATGTGAGCATGCATGTGACAGTGAGAGAGAGAGAGAACGAGAGAAAGACAAGAGCACCCTTCACGGGGCCTGGTCATACCACGATCCTTTTCCTCCAGTCCTCCATCCTATCAGTTCCTGGGCACTGGTTTGTGTACTGGGTGTTTTCAGGCTGATCAGACTGGGGATTTGAACCATGGTCACCATGTGGAATTTCTCTTGAGCACTGTACTACCACTGTGCCATGGAACTGGCCCTAGTGCGACCCTTTAAAATTCAAGTCAGATCCTGTCAGCCCCTGCTCGAAACCTTCCAACAGCTCGTCTCACTTCAAGTCTGGGAGGGCCTCGTGGCAGATGCAGGCTCAATCCCCTCCATGCTGTTCCATTCCTACCACTCTCCCCAGAGGGATCTCCTGCAGACACTGGCCTGCTTGCTGCTCCCTGACCCTGCTGAGCACACCCCCGCCTCAGGTCTGCGGACATGCTGTTCTCCTTACACAGAAACTCTTCCCACTCAGAGCTGCACGCCTCACACCCTTCTGTCCAACTATCCCCATCAGAGACACTGTCCCTAAATACATAAACTAGCATCCCCACTGCACCCTCTATTCTCCTACCGCTTCGCTTTTCTTCATGGCACTTACCGACTACCACTGCCCAGCACATTCTATAAACTAACGGACTGCAGTCTGCCTCACCCCACCAAGTCTGGGCACTGCTGTATCCAAGGGGCCTAAGAAGAGCCTAATGAGTAGCAGCCCCTCAGAAAGCACGCAACAAAATGTCCAGCTGGCAGCAGAACTCAACATTAACCATTTTTTAAAAAATTAGTTCATTTTATTATTATTATTATTATTTTTGTCAGTCAACAACCACTGTTTCTGGTCACATGATAGGCAACTCAGTGTAATGGTTAGGAGCTGGGCTTGGGTTTAGATGGTTTGGGATAGAACTGTGATTCTTCCACCCACCCCCCACCTTTTTCTTTTTTAAAAAATTATTTATTTATTTAATTCTATTTGTTATTATTTTTTAATTTGACCAGAGAGAGACAGTGAAGGAAAAGGAAGATGAGGAAGCAAGCCACCAGATCCAGGACTTAAACAAACTGAGGTCAGCCATGTGGGAGTCCAGAGCCTCAACCACCACATCACCTGCTGGCCCCAACATTAACTATTTTAAAATAAGAACTTATCTGTCCCAGAAAGCCTACTATGAGAACCACAAAAACTCCACTCACCATCCCCACGTTCCCGGGCTGACAAGATCTTGGGCTCAAAAATAAGGAAACTAGAGCAGAGTGTGCCTCAGGGTCCATTTCTAGTAGGCAGAAAGTAGAGAGAGACCACGTTTGAGCACTTAGTTCCATCTAACTGGCAGCACGATCACTCCATGATGGCAGTTCTTTGAATTACTCCCATTTTATTTATTTACTTATTTATTGATAGATTTTTGCCAGAGCACATGTTCTAGCCAGAGTGAGCAAGAAAGTGAAAAACTACCTCCCAGGGGAATGGCCACAGTGCAGTCTCTTCTCCTCCTGGGATTTTGGGCACACATGCGTGATATAATTTTCTTTCTTTTGTTTGTTTGAAGAATTATTTCATTTAACTTTATTTATTTGATTTGACTAGAGAGGGATAGTGAGAGAGAGAGAGAGAAGGAAAGTGAGAAACCAAGCCACCAGGTTCAGGACTCAATCCACAGTTGGCCCTGTGAGAGTCCAGCACCCTTAACTACCATGTCACCTGCTGGCCCCATAATTTTCTTTTTCTTTATTTAGAGAGGTTTTTGTTATAGGCATGAGCATTCGCCCTAGAGACAGAGAGAGAGAGAGAGAGAGAGACAGCAAGAAATCACCCTCCCGGGGGATGGCCACACTCCAATCCCTTCTCCTCCATTCTCCACTTGGGATTTTGGACACAAACACACGCGCCTGGCATTTCATTTCAAACTACCAGGTCCAGGACTGCTGGTCCCTGCCCAGTGTAATTTTCAAGCACCAGATCCGGGACTCTAACAGAAGTCACCCACTTGGGCATCCAGTGCCTTGACTACTAAACCACCTGCTGGCCCTGACTTACTCCCATTTTAATGGTGAGGAATGCAAGTTAAGAGAAGTTGGATATTCGCCCATGGTAGCTCTAAGCAGTCTTCTCACTGGGGAATGCATGAAGATTTTCTAGGGGGCACAAAGGCAGTTTAAGGGGAACAAGTTTCCAACTCCCCCTTCATACTAGCTCATCTCCAGCCTGGTCAGCCTGAAACACAAGGGACATGAAGATGAATACCTGAGATCTGACCACCTGGAGGACTGGAGGAAAGGGATCGAGGAGTGACCAGACAGACCACATGCAAGGTGTTCATCTCTCTCTCCTCTTGTGTGTTCACATTCTATATGAATAAATAAAAGGATTGTTCACATTTCAGATAAAGGCATAACTACCCAGCCATGCTAAATCTTAGTAAGGTGCACTGTGCCACAGTACCAAAGTCCCCGGGCACCACAAAGTGGCAATTCAAAAATGTTTGCTCAGACTATGTCTCCCTGCAGTGACCACATAACAAAGAATTGCGTCTGGTGATTTCCAAACCTTGGCCTTCAACCAAATTAAAAGAGGACCTAAAAGAACTGTTGGCTGACAGAATATTAATAAATGATTTGATGATACACCACGAAGTGCTGCTTTTGGCCAGTAATTCAGGTGTTCAAAGAACTAAGTGATAACTGCTGCAACAAAACACCTTCAATGACTGTGCTTTTAATTCACACAACGTTTTCAGTGCTTACAGCCATTAAAAAAGGCTCTGCCAGGGGACCAGCAGGTGGCGTGGTGGGTAAGGCGGTGGACACTCCCACATGGCTGACCACAGTTCGAGTGCCGAACCTGGTGGCTTGCTTTCTCACTTTCTCTCTCTCTCTCGTTCTTTCTCTGTCTCTCTCTGGTCAAATTTAATGAATGAACGAATGAATGAATAAAGTTAGATAATTCTAAATTAAAAAAAAAAATAAAAAAGCTCTGCCACTGGGGCCAGCAGGCGGCATGGCATTAAGGTACTGGACTCCCTTAAGGTTGACTGCAGTTGGAATCTGGATGACAGCTTGCTTTCTCACTTTCTTTCTCATTGTCTCTGGTGAGCACGTGTCCTACAGCAAGTTAAAAAATAATAAATAAAAGTAAATAAGTATTTTTTTTAAAAAGGGCTCTGCCCATTCTAGTAAATAGTCACATGTAGTTTCATGACAGTGATGTTGTGCAAACATCAGAGTGTACATACACAAACCTACACAGTAGGACCTACTACAGACCTAGGCAATATGGTATAATCTGAAGAGTCTATCCTTGACTGAAACATTGTTATGCAGGGGTGTGACTATATACAAAAACACAGATAGACACATGAACTAAAAACAAAACTTCATCCAGTCTGAGAAAAGTCATTTCATGAGACCAAGAGATGGCGCAATGGTTATGTCACTGGACTCCTACATAGTCAGCCACAGTTCTAATCCTGGACTCAGCAGCTCAAAACTCACACTGGGCATTTGTGCATTATGTGCCTAAGATCCCGAGAGGAAAATGGAGAAGGGATTACAGCATGGCGTTCCCTTCTGGGGGATGATTTCTTACTTTCTGTCTCTCAGGCAAGCCTACACATTCTATAGCCAAAATTTCTTGTACCAAAAAAAAAAAAAA